TCTTGGCAGAATGGGATTGGACTGGATGGCCCATGAGGTCTCTTCCAACTCTAGGATTCTATGATTCTATGACTGATAGAGAGACAAACAAGCAGGCAGATTGAGAGAGAATCTGTTGACTATAGATAAGACAGATGGATGGATGGACAGATGAAAAGACAGATGGACAGACAGGTAGGTGGGTAGAGGGAAAAATAGATGGACAGATGGACAAACGAACAAACAGAATGACAGACAAATAGATATAGACACAGACAATATGTTGACCATCCTGCAGACAGACGGATAGGAGATGAATTGATAGATGGAAGGATGGATGGAAAGATGGATGGACAAGAGATAGATAGATAGATAGATAGATAGATAGATAGATAGATAGATAGGTGGTGGGTGGATAGATAGATGGATGGACAGACAGACAGACAGACATGGAGATGGAGGCAGAGACAGAAACAGAGACAATGGAGATAGAGATGGAGATAGAGAAGCTGTTGACTATCCTGCAATGATAAATACTCACAACCAACACATTTCCGCAGATCATCAGGCTAACGTTTTTGGTGAAGGTGCCCACGAAATCCACCAGAGCTGGACGGAAATTGGGAGGGCCAGTCAGGACCAGACACTGAGGTCTGAAAAAGAAAGAGAGAAGGGTTTCTTTCGGCAGGAAAGACTCACAGGTTTGTCAGTTCCATCTTCTGAAATAGAGACTACAGCATCCAGTATCCCTTGAAAGTTCTTCTGAACTTAAGGGAGGGCCTTCTTTTTGGACTGCCACTCCCAGCATCCCCCAGCAACCATGACAATCATATCTGAGGGAAAGTGACCAAGGTTGGATCTTGTGCACATGCATTCCTTCAAGTCACCTCACAGGAAACAGACTGGCATCTGGTAGAGCTGCTGTTGCAATGAAGACGAGGACAAGGATGATGTGGATGAGGATTCGGTACTATCTTTACCTGTAGTTTTTAATGTGGTCATCCACCTCATTAAGTCCAACAGAATAGTTCAGAGCCATGTTGTAGGAACCAGCTTGCACCGAGGAGCCCCAATTCACAACTGAAGAGAGACAGTAAACAAAGATCAGATCGCATGTTCTCCATTTAATGCTTCCTGTTGTGCATTTCTTGATTGTGGCCCTCTTTCAGTTTACACAAATCCCAAAAGCCTATAGCATTGACCCATGGCAGTATGTATTTTTTTAGAAATTAGAAATTATTCTGCAATTTCTGCTTTGTTTGGGATCCAGCCTTTCCCCAGTGCATCAGCTTATATTCCATTGAGGGTTTTGTGCCAACGCCTGTCTTCCTCTTGTACATTGGGAAGGTCCAATAAGATGGAAACCAACACAAGATGGAGCCTACCATAAGATGGAACTCAACCACAAGATAGAACCTAACACAAAATGGAACCTGCTACAGGATGGAACCCACCACAAGATGGAACCCAACCACAAGATGGAACCCACCACAAGATGGAAACCAACACAAGACGGTACCCGACACAAGATGGAGCCTACTATAAGAGGGAACCCAACCACAAGATGCAACCCACCATAAGATAGAACTCAACACGAGATAGAGCCTAACACAAAATGGAACCCACCACAAGATGGAACCCAACCACAAGATGGAACCCAACCACAAGATGGAACCCACCACAAGATGGTACCCGACACAAGATGGAGCCTACTATAAGATGGAACCCAATCACAAGATGCAACCCACCATAAGATAGAACTCAACACAAGATAGAGCCTAACACAAAATGGAACCTGCTACAGGATGGAACCCACCACAAGATGGAACCCACCACAAGATGGAACCCACCACAAGATGGTACCCGACACAAGATAGAGCCTACCATAAGATGGAACCCAATCACAAGATGCAACCCACCATAAGATAGAACTCAACACAAGATAGAGCCTTACACAAAATGGAACACAACATAGGATGGAGCCCAACACAAGATGGAACCCAACCACAAGATGGAACCCACGACAAGATGGAAACCAACACAAGATTGTACCCAACACAAGATGGAGCCTACTATAAGATGTAACCCAACCACAAGATGCAACCCACCATAAGATGGAACTCAACACAAGATAAAGCCTAACACAAATAGAACACAACATAGGGTGGAGCCCAACACAAAGATGGAACCCAACCACAAGATGGAACCCACCATAAGATGGAACTCAACACAAGATAGAGCCTAACACAAAATGGAATCCAACATAGGATGGAACCCAACACAAGATGGAATCAAACACAAGATGGAACCCACCACAAGAAGAAAACCAACCACAAGATGGAAACCAACACAAGATGGAACCCAACACAAGATGGAGCCTACTATAAGATGGAACCCCACACAAGATGGAACCCACCACAAGATGAATATCAACCACAAGATGGAAACCAACACAAGATGGAACCTAACACAAGATGGAACTCAACACAAGATAGAGCCCAACACAAGATGGAACCCAAGATAGGATGGAATTCAACCACAAGATGGAACGCACCACCATATGGAACTCAATCACAAGATAGAAACTAAGCACAAGAAGGAGCCTATTACAAGATGTAATCCCATCATGAAGGAACCCACCACAAGATTTAATTCAATCACAAGATGGAAAATACCATAAGAAGAAACCCAACCACAAGATGGAACCCACCACAAGATGGAAGGCATTACAAGACGGAACCAATCACCACCCTGCCATAGTTGTACCCTGCTCCTCGTTGCAGATGGGATCCTTTCACCACCTCTCCAGACCCAACAGGTGATTTGCTAATAATATCAGTTACCTACCAGGCTTCTTGTAGAGCACGTATCCCAGCAAGAAAACCACAATTCCAATGGCAATGAGGGCGGCCCACCAGGTGAGCAAGAACATGATGACCACTGAGATGACGGCCCCAAAGAGAGCTGCCCATTTGCTGTAATACCGGAAGGAGGGCCTCCAACCTGCAAGGATGGCACAAAGAGACCAGTTGGCATCCATCCATGTGGGATTTAGAGAATTATTCTATACTCAAACCACTACACCACACTGACTTAGTACTAGCAACCTTGCATCTCATACTGGGAGAAAGACAAGGTATAAATTTAATAAATAGATAACACTCATATACTACTATGATGCCATTTCTCACCTGGCGAATTGGTAATGGAGGCATGGAAGCAGCTGAAGTTGATGAGCGCATAGGAGCAGAGGAAGAAGTTGGAGATGATGGGAGCAATGGCATTCAATTCCGCTGATTAAGGAAAAAGCAGAGTATAAAGAAGTGTACGATATGAATCTCTCCACTGGCACCAATGATAGAGAAGTGTGTTTTATATACTAGTATAAATCTGTTGTGACTCAGGTACCAGAGATTGTCTCACACAGCAATTAAAGGGTTAACAGAAGTCTTTAATGAGTCTCTATCAGTAAGAGCACTTAACAGCAGTGCTAATTACCAAAACAAAAGAGCCTTCAGGCAAGTAAACAAAGAGGGAGATAAGCCGGATCTTCCAGGACTCGAGCTCAGCAAAAAGGAAAGCAGGAGTTAACATGAGCTTGTGGCAAACACAAAATCAAAACAGCTTCTTAATCAAGCAGAGTTCAGAGCAATAACAAAGTCCAGTAAACAGTTGCGTAGTACAAAGCCGATTCCAAGGTCAGGGGCAGGATGAAGTCACTCACGTAGAACAGTTCCGAAGTCAAGACACACGAGGCAGGATAGCTGGATACCAGGGACCCAAACAGAGGTTAGGCAGCGCAAAGCACACAAACAACACGTTGTCTTCTGCAAAGTTACACATCCCAGCGCTCCCAATTTATTGGCAGTCACTATCACTTGATTGGCCTTCATCACTAGCATCTGAATCATTTCCCTCAGCTGCTGGCTCATTACCACGCCAACGCTGCCATCGTTGATCCAATTCCTGATCCTGCCAAGATGAACCTGCCTCCCATGTATCTTGGAACCCCTCGAACTCGTCACTGGACATAGCTTGGGTGCATATGTCCCTAATGTTCTTAACAAGAGTCCAATCCAGTTCCTCCTCCATTTCTCCCTCACTGGCTTCCAATTCACCTGAACTGGAATTGTCAGCTGTATCTTTAAGTCTTTTACTCAGGGTGTCTTCATCACTATCAGATTCACTGGCAACACGCTTTACTCCCCGGTAATCTGACTCTACTAGCTCCTCAGGGCCGAACTCTGCAAAGTCCTCCGTATCACTCGGGGCCAAAATGATTTCACGAATGCGCTTCAGCTGACGCTGATCCAGCTCTGACTCAGCATCACTCCTCCTTCTCCTGCAACTGGTAGTAGATTCACTGCCGAGACGCTGAGCCTCAACAAAATCACACCACTTGCCACCAATATAACGAAAAGCGAGATATCTAACACCAAGTATCCCACAGTTGAACCCCGCTGTGAAGGATTATATGCAATATACCACTACTAGACAATAGTATGGTAGCGAGATGATGTTATATAGATACGTGTAATGGTAGAGTGGACACTGCTTTAGTCTTTTTTTGGTTTAATGCTGCCACCAACTCATTTTTAAAATGAGTTTTTGAGGTAAACGTTTCCCTTCTCTACCAACACAGCTCTCCCCTTAGCTCCCAGAATGACTGTTTGGATAAGAGAACTTTCTGTGGTATTAGGATGTTAAAGAGGCTGGAATTATCACAAAGGATTACTGATAGATTGAGGAACGATAGAGACCTTTTTGAAAGTTAAATAGAAAAAGATTTATTTATAAAAACAGACAACTAACTTGTCTGTTTTTATAAATAAATTTATAGCTCTGTATGCAACAAAGTGAAGAAACTTAATTCAAGCAACCATCAAGCTATAGTTCACTTTTGTAACAAGTCAAGTGTTTTGTGCCACTCAGAAGAAGAACTAACTTCTTCTTCTGAGTGGCACAAAACGCTTGACTTGTTACAAAAGTGAACTATAGCTTGATGGTTGCTTGAATTAAGTTTCTTCACTTAGTTGCATACAGAGCTAATCAAACGGATATAGGTGCTGGTTACAAAAAAAAATCCCTCACTCTACTTCAGAGAAATAGCAATGAGTTACTGACTAACCTAACCTAAGTAGTCTCCTGAGTTATCAGCTAACTCTCCCAGAGTTCTCCCAGCTAACTAACTCAGTCTAACTAACTCAGTCTAGCTGCTGGTTACCAAAAATCCCTCACTCTACTTCAGAGAAATAGCAATGAGTTACTGACTAACCTAACCTAGGTAGTCTCCTGAGTTATCAGTTAACTCTCCCAGAGTTCTCCCAGCTATTTATTTATTTATTTATATATTTGGGGTTCTTCTACCCCGCCCTTCTCACCCCGAAGGGGACTCAGGGCGGCTTACAAAGGCAAAGGCACAATTCGATGCCTGCATCATAAAACAATCATACACAAAATTACATCAATTCACAATTAACAACAGTTCATGCATTATAACCATAAAATCAATAAAATCAATAAAACCTATACAAACCCAGTTTCTCCTCTTACATGGTCAGCGTTCGCTCACTCATAGATATAGTTTTACGTTCCACTTCATCACTCCTGTTGGTCTTACTCGCCTGATTATCTGATTTAATTGCCAGAGTGCCCAAAGGCCTGGTCCCATAACCACGTCTTCACCCTCCTCCTAAAGGCGAGGAGGGATGATGATGCCCTGATTTCCCCCGGGAGTGAGTTCCACAGGTGAGGAGCCACCACTGAGAAAGCCCTGCTCCTCGTCCCCACCAGCCTCACTTGTGACAGTGGTGGGGTCGAGAGCAGGGCCTCCCCAGATGATCTCAGACTCTGGGGTGGGACGTAGAGGGAGATACGTTCGGACAGATACACTGGACCGGAACCGTACAGGGTTTTGTAGGTCAAAACCAGCACCTTGAATTGTGCTCGGAACTGAATCGGCAGCCAGTGGAGCTGGCACAGCAGGGGGGTGGTATGCTCCCTGTATGTCGCTCCGGTGAGCAATCTGGCTGCCGCTCGCTGGACTAGTTGAAGTTTCCAAACAGTCTTCAAGGGCAACCACACATAGAGAGCGTTGCAGTAGTCTATTCGGGATGTAACAAGAGCGTGGACCACCATGGCCAGATCAGACTTTCCAAGGTACGGGCGCAACTGGTGCACAAGTTTTAATTGCACAAAAGCTCTCCCGGCCACCACTGAGACCTGGGGTTCAACTAACTCAACTAACTAACTCAGTCTAACTAACTCAGTCTAGCTGCTGGTTACCAAAAATCCCTTACTCTACTTCAGAGAAATAGCAATGAGTTACTGACTAACCTAACCTAGGTAGTCCCCTGAGTTATCAGCTAACTCTCCCAGAGTTCTCCCAGCTAACTAACTCAGTCTAGAGAGCTAATCCCTCGTGCTATCTCTCACAAGAAATCAGGTTGCTGCTTGACCTTTCCTGTCAGCTAATCAGCCCTGCCTGACACAGACACTCTCTCTCTCTGAAAACCGAGTTTCAAAAACGCTTCTTCTCCCACCATCTCCCAATTCTCCTCCACAGAAGCTGAAATATTTTCCCTCCTAAGGCTTGGCTCCTCCCATCTGCTCTAGCCAATCCCAGGAGACCTCAGACTCCCCCCCATCTTCTAGCGATCCTCACTCAAGATGGCTGCTTCCCTGGCATACACTCTCAAAATGGAGGTTTGCCCTACTGTTATCCAGGCTTCTTTCTCGGCCTACTAGGTAAGATTCACGACACAGAGCAATGGGTTAATTTGTGTTATTCCGTTTCATAGCCTGGATTCAGTGGGGTTTCACTTCAATATGATGTTCATAATCTTATATTTCACTCATCCCAAGTCCAACGAGATGGACTTGTCCTTGGAATTCTTACCAATAAGGATGAAGCCCACTGCGATAAAGTACGTCAGCACATAGCCCCGGATCGGTTCATTGTTTTTTCCATAGCCCTTCCCGAAAAAGCCAATGGCAGGGTAGAGTTGGTCCTTGCAAAGGCACTGTGGGGGAGGTGAGGAGAGCAATTCATTACCAAATAAGGGTGTGTGATCAATGAAAAAAAGTTTCAAATCTACTTACTAAAGTGTTTCTAAAATATCATAAGGGGTCCATGTCATAACTATTACGACGTAACAAAATTTTCGTTATTATTTCATTAAGTAATCGCACTAATGGGGAAACTGTTGAGGCCTGTGAAACCTCTGAGGATGAGGACAAGGATTTTCTGGTTGAGCTGTTGTGGCTCAGCCTGGTTCTGAGCTTCCTGAGCTTCCTCGGGATGAGGAGGATGATGGTTTGCAGATTTCTGAACATGTCCCTGTTGTTGAGGCAGACAGTGAAGAAGAGACAGCATTTCTGTTCCCCAGAGAAAGGAATGTTGTTTCAGATCAAGGTCATGATCTAAGTGAATTGAGGAGCGGCTTAAGGAGCTGGACATGTTTAGCCTGAAGAAGAGAAGGCTGAGAGGAGATATGATAGCCATGTATAAATATTAGGGCTGGGCAACCACGGAAAATTTTGTTTCTAAACTCGATTCGTTTTTAGGGGGTTTTTGCGTTTCGATTTTTTAAAGAATTCCGAATTTTTTCTTTAAAAAAGTTCGAAATTTACAATTACGAATCGATTCGTTAATGGCGGACGCGATCGCGCAATACGCTAAAAAAACTTCCAAATGGGACAGGGGGAACTTCTGAAGCTTCCCTCTCCCTCTGTTGTTGACTGTTGGTGTGATAATTATATATTTTTTTCACTGATTAAACAAACAACAACTATAAAACTTGCCCCAGACATGCGGAAATAATAACGAAATGATTTCGAAACGATTTCGAAACAATTACGAAACAATTACGAAACAATTACGAAACGAATTGAAAAATTCGTTTCGATTTTTAGTTGCTCCTGAATGGTTCAATATCGCTTCGTTATAAAAAAAATAACGAATTAATAATGAATTACGAAATTAACGAACGAAACTGCCCAGCCCTAATAAATATGTGAGAGGAAGCCACAGGGAGGAGGGAGCACGCTTGTTTTCTGCTTCCTTGGAGACTAGGACGCGAAACACTGGCTTCAAACTTCAACAGAGGAGATTCCATCTGAACATGAGGAAGAACTTCCTGACTGTGAGAGCCGTTCAGCAGTGGAACTCTCTGTCCCAGAGTTTGGTGAAGGCTCCTTCTTTGGAAGCTTTTAATCAGAGGCTGGATGGCCATCTGTCAGGTGTGATTTGAATGCAATATTCCTTCTTCTTGGCAGGGGGTTGGACTGGATGGCCCATGAGGTCTCTTCCAACTCTATGATTCTATGAAACTCCACAGCTGCTGGTGAGTGAAACTCCACAGCTGCAGGTGGAGGAGTCGGCCGCTCCTTCTGGGAGCTCAGGGCCTCAGTTCCCAGGGTGACCAGTCCCAGGACAATGAGGTATCTGGCCTTGAAGGTGGTGGAGATTTGATTAGATAAGATCGTTTACAATTAAGAGTGCGTCGAAGTGCTAGAATTGCCAACAAACGGGAAACTCGGGGGCAACGTAATGCTTTCATGCTAGGGAAACATATTTAACAATCTGTTTGAAGGCAGTCTTTTGTCAGTGCAACCTTGCTTATACCCTGTCAGCTTCTCTGGAATTGCCTTGGCTTTTGGGGAAAGCTTTGACTCTTTGGGACTATGGTTTTGATCTTGGCTTCTGGGGCCTACATTATGCTGCCTGGGATTTTAGTTTGACTCATGACTGTGGATTATACTTCATGTTATTTGCCTTTGGATCTTGGAAACTTTACCTTTGCATCTAAAACTCTATTTTGGCCATTGAACTATTGCAACTTCATTTTTATGTTTTTGACTTTGCTTTTTCTTCAATAAACTACAAAACCTACAGCCTTGGAGTGTGGTGTTATTTTGAGCAAGGTGAAACTATCCTGAGTTGCGACAAAGCTAAACACAAAGACTTGCTCACCTGAAACACTTTGGGTGCGGAGACCAGGCAAGCCAGAGCAGAGGAGAGGGTGGCCCCAAAAATCCCCGCGGTGATCAATGGTGCGAATCCAGACACCATGCTCATGGCCTAAAATATGGGACAAATAGGAGAACTGGTCAGGAGCACCATTGCAACACATTTTTAAAAAAATACAAAAACTTGCAATGACTTTTAAAAGCCTTCAGTTCTCAAAAGTCTTTTGGAAGAAACAAAATATTTGCCAGTTGAAGGGATGATGAAAAGGAAGGGGACGATTGTAACTTCTCTAAATCAGGCCAAACTGTTGTTGTGTGCCTTCACGTTATTTCCAGTTTCATCCTAAAGCCAACCTATTGTGAGGTTCAAACTCTGTACCTGGTAATGGTTGATGAGCCCATAGCGGCAGCTCTGGCTCTGGGCGCATTCGGTGAAGTTCCAGCCGAGGCCACAAGCGATGCCTTCACAGCCCATCGAATCCATGGCGAGTGTGTCATTCACGTTCCCCGATGCGTCACGGACCACACAAGAACCTTGGAGGGAGGAACCATTTAGGAGTTTTAGCTTTCCAAGGTCTTGAGCCTTCTCTGCTAAAGAGGGCTGGTGCTTAACCAAGCTACAACTCCCAGCATCCCATAGCATTGCGCCATGGCACCTAGAGAAGTGTCAAGCTGCATTCATTCTCCAGTGCAGATGCACCCTTAGAGCTCTCTCATGCATCCATAAGTTGATCTCAACTTTTGAAGGGACAACTAACCGGTGTTTCTTACAGGAAGCGGTCAACCCTCCTGTTTAAGGAGCTCCACTGGCTGCCGTTCATTTTCCGGTCCCAATTCAAGGTGCAGGTTCTTACCTACAAAGCTCTGAACGGTTTGGGACCCACCTACCTGCGTGACCGCACCTCTGTGTACGAACCTACACGATCTCTTTGATCATCTGGAGAGGCCCTGCTCACGCTCCCACCTGTATCACAGTTACGATTGGTGGGGACGACGGAGAGGGCCTTCTCGGTGGTGGCCCCTCGACTTAGGAACTCACTCCACAGGGACATCAGGCATGTCTCAACTCTGCCAGTCTTTAGGAGGAGCCTGAAAACGTGTTTGTTCCAGTGTGCCTTCCCAGAATAAGGAAATACCCTCAGCAATATGTCCCTAAATGCACTTTATCACTGATTTATCACTGATCTGCGCGCCCCATCTCCACCTGAAAACTCAGTCTCAGTTATATCCTACCTTTTCCATGTCCAGCATTATTTTTTTAATTTTAAATTATTACATTTGGCCCAGCCATAGGTTTTAAATACTTGTTGTTATTGTTACTGTCTATTGTTTACTTTTGTTTATGAGATTTATTTTAACTATTGTATTGATTGTTTTCTTATTGCTTTTACTGTTGATGTACTTTGGGCTCGGTCTCATGTAAGCCGCACCGAGTCCCTTGGAGAGATGGTAGCGGGGTATAAATAAAGTATTATTATTATTATTATTATTATTATTATTATTATTATTATTATTATTCTCTGCATCTGTGCACGGAAGCATTTATTGCATTTATGCAGTACCACAGAATCATGGAGTTGGAAGAGACCACGTGGGCCATCTAGTCCAACCCCATTCTGCTATGCAAGAAAAGCACAATCAAAACACCTCTTGGCTCATGTTCAACATCACATGGGGTCTGTAAAGACCTGTTCGGAAATTAAACCCCCTTCACACTCTTCTCCTTCTCTGCTTTTTCTAGGATTTATGTATTTGATTTTCCATCAAATGCTTTCCTCACACTTTACCTCCCATTTTCTTTATTTAAAAAAACCCTTCTGTCTTTGTAATTTTGGGAGTTCAATATGCAGCCCAAAAAACTTATAACAAGTTCTACATCTCTCAAGCAGAGTAATCAAACTATCAAGGCAGAAGCTGAACAACAACCAGTTAGCTTTAAATACAAGCCCTGCATCTCTCAATCATAGTAATCAAACTATCAAGGTTGAACAACAACCAGTTACTTTTAAATATAATTATTTTATCTCTCAAGCAAAGTAGTCAAACTATTAAGGCAGAAACTGAACAACTACCAGTTAATTTAAATCCAATTATTACATCTCTCAAGCAAAGTAGTCAAACTATCCAGGCAGAAACTGAACAACAACCAGTTACTTTTAAATACAATTATTAAATCTCTCAAGCAGAGTAATCAAATTATCAAGGCAGAAACTGAACAACAACCAGTTACTTTTAAATACAATTATTACATCTCTCAAGCAAAATAGTCAAACTATCAAGGCAGAAACTGAACAACAACCAGTTACTGTTAAATACAATTATGACATCTCTCAAGCAAAGTAGTCAAACTATCAAGGCAGAAACTGAACAACAACCAGTTACTTTTAAATACAATTATTACATCTCTCAAGCAGAGTAGTCAAACTATCAAGGCAGAAACTGAACAACATCAGTTACTTTTAAATACAATTATTACATCTCTCAAGCAGAGTAATCAAATTATCAAGGCAGAAACTGAACAACTACCAGTTACTTTTAAATACAATTATTACATCTCTCAAGCAGAGTAGTCAAACTATCAAGGCAGAAACTGAACAACAACCAGTTACTTTTAAATACAGTTATTACATCTCTCAAGCAGAGTAGTCAAACTATCAAGGCAGAAACTGAACAACATCAGTTACTTTTAAATACAATTATTGCATCTCTCGAGCAGAGTAGTCTAAAGAGCCTAATGTCGCAACTCAGGTGAATCTATCCTGAGTTGCAACATTAGGCTCTTTAAAGAGTTCCTGCACATTTTGGAGACCGTCCTTCTTTCCTTCCTTTTGCCTCAGTGTTCACATTGCTGAGAAAGATGAGTATTGTAGTCCAGTGCACTAGATTAGGGAAAACTACTCTTACAACACAATCTTTTGCCAATGGAGTTGTAGTTTCATAATGTCTTTAGTCTCCCTCCTGTGCTGTTTCTTACCAATTGTAGCAGAAAGCACCAAATAGGATATGGTTGTCCAGAAAATAGCCATGAGGGTCCCTTTAGGAATTGCCACCGCCGGATCCTAAGCAAAGGAGTGAATGATATTTAGGCAAATGCATTGCTCAGGCATCCTAGCATTGCGTTCACTGGTAACTTATGTCATTATAGATTAACAACTTAGGAGCTTGGAGTACTTGGAGGAAGAAATGGATACGATGAGTTTAGGCATATCATGAGTTGGTGGGCTTTTGCCATCAGACTTGGTTTAAGGCATCTTCCTATGTTCCTACACAAGACCTTCAATGAATATACTATTCCATAATATCACTTAATATAATATTGGGTCCAGATACCAATACCTACCTTCAAGTCGCCCGAAATGTTGGCTCCTGCCAAGATGCCGGTGGCCGATGGGAAAAAGATGGAAAACAAGCCAAAGAAGCTGCCGTCAGGTCCACGCCAGTTGGGGACAAAGTTCTGGGCAAAAATATCCCCTGAGAAATAAGAATGTAAAGCATGCATGAGTGTGCATGAAGCCTGACTGGACTTCCAATGATAATTTTAGACACTATGCTCCTATTGATTCAGCCTAGAATCACATTTGCCTTTTTAGCTGCCGCATTGCACTCTTGGCTCATGTTCAGTCTGTGATCCACCAAGATTCCTATATTCACACTGCTCCATGTTTTAGTTTACAGAAATGTATTTAAAGCTAACTAGTTGTTGTTCAGCTTCTGCCTTGCTATTTTGATTAGTCTGCTTGAGTGATTTAGGAATTGTATTTAAAGCTAGCTGGCTGTTGTTCAGCTCATTTATTATTTATTTATTTCGGGCATTTCTACCCTGCCCTTCTCACCCCCTAGGGGGGACTCAAGGCGGCTTACATCTGGCACAATTCGATGCCCACAATTACAATAAAATGCAATAACAATAACACAATAGATTAAAAACAGACAATTAATACAGTACAATATAACACAATACAATATCAACTAAAACCGCTCTAAAGCCTGCGTTCATCGTGTTCTAAAATCCGTCAATCCGTTTAGCATTTCCGTAGTCCTTTCCAACTCTAGTCATCATTACCATGTTATCCTGCCAGACTACCCAAATGCCTGGTCCCATATCCATGTCTTCAGCCTTCTCCTGAAGGAGAGGAGGGATGTTGACAACCTAATTTCCCCGGGGAGTGAATTCCATAGGCGAGGGGCCACCACTGAGAAGGCCCTGTCTCTCCTCCCCACCAGCCTCACTTGTGATAAAGGTGGGGCCGAGAGCAGGGCCTCCCCAGATGATCTCAAACTCTGAGGTGGGACATAGAAGGAGATACGTTCGGACAAGTACACTGGGCCGGAGCCGTAGAGGGTTTTAAAGGTCAAAACCAGCACTTTGAATTGTGCTCGGAACTGGATTGGCAGCCAGTGGAGCTGATGTAGCAGAGGAGTGGTGTGCTCCCTGTATGACGCTCCGGTGATTAATCTGGCTGCCGCCCGTTGGACTAGTTGAAGTTTCCGAACAGTCTTCAAAGGCAACCCCACGTAGAGTGCGTTGCAGTAATCTATTCGGGATGTAACAAGGGCGTGGACCACTGTGGTCAGATCCAACTTCCCAAGGTACGGGCGCAGCTGGCTGTTGGGAATCAAGAGCTGTTAGGCTCAAAAATAACCCTCTCTGGGGGTGATTCCACCAAAATATAGCAGAGTGCAGGATGCACAGTAAATAAGCAGCAGAAACTTACATGTAGTGAGCAAGTTATGACTTCCATTCAGCAGGATGGAACAGGATTGCAGATCCACAACTCATAGGATCAAAATAATATGTTTATTAAAGATAAAAGAAATCCATTCTGGATAGGAAAGGTTCTTGGAGCTAACTAGCTTCACTGAGCTATCATCTAAGGTAAAAGAAAAAATAATAAAGGTAACTATTTCTACTACATCCTTGCTGGACAAAAGCAAGATGCTTCCTCACTCTATGGAGGACAAAAAGGAAGTGAGCCTGAAAATGGAGACAGACCACATGGCCCAGCCTAGGGCAATAAAGATACCTTTACAAGAGGAAGTTACGTTTTCCCTATAGGATTACATTCCTAGGTATTCAAATGGGGAGGAGATAGTACCATGCA